TACCGTTAATCCTTTTGAGGTGTGGTTTTAGGCTTTGTTAGAGCTGTTAAATTTCACAAATGCCCTTATTTCAAGGTTTGTTTACCGAGAATCTTAGCCCTTCTTTTTCTCATCTGAAATCTTGACATGTTTACTAGACCCTACCCATGGCAGAACTTAAACTCCAGCCTGTGTCTCCTCAGCACCACACAGCTCTCTACATAGCTCATTTGCTTCCTAGTTACTGTTTTCTGCCCTGTGTGTGTGTGTGTGTGTGTGTGTGTGTGTGTGTGGTTGAGAGGTACATGTGCGGCTGATGGATCAGCCATGGAAGAAAATTTGTATGTGGATGTATGGGCTCCTCCTCCACAGTTCCCTTTGTTTTGCTTCTCAAATACCATATGTTTTGAAACTCTGAACTCCTACTTTGATTTCCTTGTGGGACTACCACTTGGGTTCCATTTCTCTATGCCATAACTTGGAACATACCCTCAGAGAAAATCCAGAATGTCCCTTGTACACATTCTTTCTCTCGAGGAATATAACATGCAAGACCTGCCTACATTGGTTTCTGTCCTCATATAGGGAGACTTCTGCCAGGCTTAGGCCTGAAGGGAGGAGGAGTGAGTAGATTACTGGAATCTTAAGGACAAGGTCATGAAAAAAGGAGCACTTTGAGAGGAATATACCTTTCGTCAAGTGATGCAGCCATCCTGAGGTGATCTTTCATCCAACTCTTACCATGGATCCTCTTTGGCCAAACTCAACCAGAAACCAGAAAGCAAGGAAAACACATTAAGATAATCCTCACAAGTCTGCTTAGCAGGATGGGGAAAGGTGTAGAGTCATCAAGGAGAAAATAGAAGATATCTGGCACACTTTGTCCCTTTATTCTTCAACATGTACATTCTTCCTTCATTTGGGAGGAAAGTGGCCCTAGCAGAGGAGACAAATGAAGTTCTCCAAGTTTGGCATCATTGTGAAGTTGTATCAATTCAGAAATACTTTTCCTGAAACTTAAAATGTTAAGCACCACCAGTATTTTTCACATAAAGTGAGATTATGTGAAGTCCCATTTCACATAGTATGGGACAAGAAGAAAGAAATACAGGTAGAATAAATACACTAGACCCTGCTCAATAGCTAGTCATGAGAGTTGGTAATCATAGCTTCCTTCTTCCAGTATTCTTTGCATATTCTCCTTTACCTTCTGCCATTACTTTGGCTGGATGGAATTCTTTACCTGGTTAGTGGACTTCAAATTTCAATTCTGGGGAATCTGAGTCTTTGATGTTCTTGCATTTTGGGGATTGGTATAGTTTTCCATTGACTAGTACTATTGGAAATAGAGTGCTTAAAAATGCCCCACTGGAATTCCTGGGTTCTAAATATAGTGCTACCCTTTGTGTAGTATTGCCTCTGTTCTGTAGCAGGAACCTCCATTTACACTTGTCATCAGAACCAATCAGTCTGGCCAGTACAGTTGTCCTTTATGTACCTGTTCATTCAGCTGCATGAAAAGTCCCTATATGGCCAAAACATAGTCTTAGCTTCCATGTCATCAGTTACCAAAGTCAAGATTGCTGGTAGAAACATGCCTTCTTGAGCACTAGGACCTTAAAAATGACAAAGTTAAGGTTTTACTGATTGGAGGTAAAGATATTTCAAGTGAGTTAGTAAGTGAGTAATAAGTATACTTTTTGATTGCCAGACTTAGCAATCTGTCAGGGGAGACTGTATCATATATTGGCTGCTGGTTTAACATAAATAGTGCATCCTGTAGGACCATACCTGATCTTCACAATATTTTCAAACAGGTGTCATAACTGAAACTTTAGCAGGTTATTTCACACTCATCAAGCCAACTGCTTCTGAATGATGGAATACATAGATTAGTGAAATCCATGAGCATGATGCCATTGCCACACTTCTCTTGTCATAAACTGTTTGGAGGCATTGTTTTGATGGAGAAGGCATTCCATAAATCTAATGGTGGTGCTGCAGAACATGAGGCAAAGAAAGAAAATCTGAATTAGAACATAGATCTATCCTCTTGAGGACAAAACAGTGTTTACTCCATGTTTACTCCATAGTGATAGGGATCAATTTAATCAGTCTGCCATCTGATAGCCAGCTGGTTTCTCTAGGGAATGGTGCCATATTGAATGCTCAGCATTGTCTTATGCTTTTGGGAAGCTGGGTACTCAGTGGCAGTGGCAGATGGTAGTGACAGTTTGTGAGTGTCACTGTGAGTGAAAGGCTATGTTGTTGGGCTCATATATAGCCTCCATCTTTGTTGCCATAGCCACTTTTTACATAGATCTATTGAGTAAGTACTAGATTAACCAGGGAAAGAAGCTGGTTGGCATTCACAGGAAGGGTCATCTTGTCTACTTGTATAATGAGAGTCTTTATAGAGGAACATTAGTATTTTTACATTCTCTACTTTCTCAAGAGGTCCATTCACATAACCCTTCCCCAGACCTCTTTGTCATTATTTTCCATTTTCTTTTTCAATGTATGATCATCTACTGAACTCATCTGTCACTTCCCATAAGTCAGTCTATTCTAGATCCATACCTATGTCCATTGTTCCTTCTGCATGAAATAGACAAATGCACAATTTTGAATAGGGTTATAGTTCTGGGATCATCCATTTTCTGGCTGATAATAGCATCTGAAGCAAGTCAATTTTTAAACTAGGTTCTTATTCCTCCCTCTCAAATTTTTTTTTTTAAGATTTTATTTATTTGACAGAGAGAGAGAGAGATCACAAGTAGGCATAGAGGCAGGCAGAGAGAGAGGGGAGGAAGCAGGCTCCCTGCGGAGCAGAGAGCCCGATGCGGGGCTCGATCCCAGGACCCTGAGATCATGACCCGAGCTGAAGGCAGAGGCTTTAACCCACTGAGCCACCCAGGCGCCCCACCTCCCTCTCAAATTTTTAATAGGAAGCTCCCCAAGAATCCAAAAGGATGGACTGAGAAAGAATGATTAATCAAGTACCATAAGATTCTAAGCTACCTCCTTATGCAGTTTAATTCTTCCTCCTAGACCCATTCAAACCTACTCACTTTCATCTTTTGGTGAAATGCTGCTCTGTTCACCCAATATTGTTTCAGTACATCAGTTAATAACTAGCCCATGATGGGAAGTTCAGGTGGCATAATCATTTGGTGTTCTGTGGTCAGACATTTTTCTCTGCCAGGGTTTTGTCACAAGCCAAGTTATGTTTTAACTTTATGTATAACTTTAACTATGTTTTAAGTTAAACCTGCACAAGGCATGGTTTGTTTGTTTTTTCCCCCATGGAAACAGTCCATGATTCCCAATTATGGTGATTTTTCAATTATTTCTGCGCAGCAGAGTTAGAATCTTTGAATTTTTAGGGATCTTGTGTTCACTCAGTCACCATTGCAGATCCTTTTAGATCAACATTTTGATTAGCACTTTATCCTATGGTTTATTGTAGTTAGTGATTGCTTCCACCTTGTTTCTGAGGGCTAAATGCTCTCGCCTGAACCTCTCACCTGAACTTTATTACTCTAGGGCTCCACTAGTCTCAGATCAGGGAAACCAATTCCATTGCATCACCATCTGTTATTTCTGGTTTAATGAAAAAAAAAAAAAAAAAAAAAAACAAACCACAAAAACACCATACAACTTTGGTTGATGCTGGTGTCAGCATCATGTTACCATTTCTTCATAACTTCTTAGGCAAGATGAGAAGACTGCACATAATAGATCCATTCCAGTATTTCTATTCCCCTGGTCCTTTGGACTCTTTATTCTACAGGGAAACTCTGGCATTTAAATATCATTTAAAAGGCCACTGTGGAGTGCAAGAATTTATTCGACCAACTATTAATGCCATTTGCAAGTTCTCTTTAAATTCTGAATCCCAGGGAGTTTCACTGCCCTAAATTAAATCAGCCTACACCTGACTTAGTTTTCACCCTTGTTGGTCTAAACACGTTTTATTCTCACAACCTCAGTGATGTTGAGATCTTAACTTTCATTTTAGGCCTGGAGGTAATGACAGGTGTTAGAGGTGAGTTCTGAGGAAAATTTCCCTTAATTTGTAAGTCACTGGAAGGTTTTTAAGCAGAAGAGTGATTTTTCCTCAATAGGATGCTATTAAAGAAAATGAGGTTGGCTCTGTCAATAGATGTTTAAAATTCTCAGTCTCTATATCTGGCAAAATATCTACATCTCATATCTCATGAACTCTCACGATCTCACTCCTAATAATGAAGCCAGACCCAGATCTGATTTTGGTGATCTATTTCTCGTGACTGTTTCTGGCATGATTAATATGTTTGAACCAGAAAAGAGATGGCATACTCAGAATACATCAAGGAGGATCTAATAAAGAGACAATTTACCAAACTCTGATCATGGTACAGGGAAGCTGCAAGGGATAATGCAGTTCCCTGGAGCTAGTAATGGTTGAAGTGTTACTATCCCTAGGGCTGAAGGGAGGAGTGGAAGGAAAAGTTAGCAGAACCTAGAAGGAAAATGTCTTGAGAGAAACTGGGTTTTTTGGTTGGGAGGTAAAGCCATCCAGAGACTACTTCACATGTAGAGTCAGGTGATCTTTTCTGTCCCCCAGACATCCTACCAGAGCTCCCCAGTAGTGGGAGCCATTGGAAAGCCAGAGGGCAGGGGAGAACTTTGGTATATGTTATACAAGTAAGCCTCCTGACAGCAAGTTGTAAGATGCTGGAGAATGGATAGAGAGGCACACCAATTATATGAAGAGTTTCAAGTTTGGCATCTTGTTTAAGGCATAACCTGAAGAAGGAAAGTAGTGTGATTTGATGAGATTTGCTCAAACTAGAACTAAGGATCCAATCTGCATATGAAAGGAGAAAGCAAGAACTTTGAGAAGCCCATTTCCCTATTCCACATACCTCTTCAGGGGAAGAGTGGGTTTTGGAAGCATCAACTATCTTATGAGTTCACATGAGTTCAGAAATGTTTTACTTTGTGCTATTCCTAGAACAATAAATGGCTGGGCTGATTTTTATTCATCTTTATTAAATAATTTTATTAACTTATCTACATAGACATATTTAACAATTCCATATAAAAAATAAATATTTTGGGTTAAATAAGTGAGTTTTTAGAGCCCCTAGGGCTTACAAAAAGAATCTTAAAAGATCCATATTTACCATATGAAGTATAAGAATAATAATTACAAAAGGTAGCAAACCATACATCAAAAAATAAATATAAATTTTAAATATTTAAATAAATAGAAAGCCTGGTACATTTAAATAGGAGGTGCTTAATTATCAAGTCAGTGTTGAGAAGATGCTTTGACAAAAAGTAATCCATTTGTTCAGAAATTCTGTAATGGTTACTGTCTCGTCATCATATTCACATTTGAAACTTGTTTCAGATCCCTATAAAAGAAAAATTTTTAATTTTTTTAGTTCAAGGTAGTTTCCCATATATACTTATTCCCAGTTGAATAATTTATAACTGATGCCCTTTATTTTCAAGTATGTTTAATATATTAATCAATCACATTTTCTTGAAATGATTGAAATGGTATGCCAAAAAGTTCTATGTTGATAACAAGTGATAGTAACGTATACACTAAGATTTTCCTCATTTGTCAATTCTGCCCATCTCAGTGAATACAAGAATTCTTTTTCCTGGATTGTATAAAGGTAAACATTTTAAGTAAAAACAGTTCTAGACAAATATTTCATTAAATGCTGCATGCAAAATAAATATGCTTCCTCTGGGCATATATCTATTTATAGGTTACATGTATACAGTCATTTACATATTTTACTTCTTTTTCAGATCTTAAACCTCCTATTAACTTTAGTGAATCTCCTCATAGTTCCCCAAAGCAAAATAGAACCAGCCCAGAGTAAGTTAGGATAAGCTTTTGTTTGGAAAATATTTATGTGAAGAACATTTTCATAAATACTCATACCCATTCCCACTCCACCTTAGTATTAATGCAGGTAAGCTTCCCAAATTTTAAAAGTCTAAACATTAGAAATTATGTTCTGTGGACTTTTTTAGAAAATAACGTTCTCTGCTGGTAGGAGCTATTTTAACTCTGTCTCTAGCTGACAAATATTTTGAAATATAACAAGATAAAAGAGAGCAATTTTTCAAACTGAGGTAATTCCTACCATGGAAATATAAACCTAGTAAGATAAGTATTTCTTTTAAATAAACTGTTGCAGTGTTATATACCCTCTTACATATAATTATTTGAATATTACAACCTCTTGGGAAGGTTTAAATTTTTTAAATTAGCTTTAAAATTTTTTTAAATTTTAACTTTTAAAATTTAATTTTAAATTAAAAATTTTAAAATAGCTGACATTTTTTGACTTGCACATAATTTTATCTTAATTTTACATCAAGAATGAGTTTTCTGATGGTCAAAAATTTTGTAACAAACCTTTTGCCATTGTTATTATATATCAATGTTTAGATGACATTGATTTCAATGTATTTTTTAAGTAGATGAAAAGAAACAGTCTACTAATACAATGACTTATTTGGAAACAACTGGAATTACTATAATTTTAGAAACTTGGCTCTAATATAATTAAAATTATGCTATTTTGGAGACCTATTAACTCATGAAATTTGTACTTTGTCAGATGGGATGAGAAAAGAGAGCCATGAATCTCTTCACATCACCTGAGTCTCTTGTATATTTAGTATTTCCTATGCATTTAAAAATACTTAAGTTCTTAAATGTATTATCTCTAAATAAGGAGTTAATTGTCTAGCCCACTGGCGATTTTAGTTTTAATTTTTTTTTTTTTTTTTTAGGTAAATCTCTCAAACCTTCCACCAAATAATAGGGAAACTGCATTTTAAAAGCCTTTAGGTAATTAGATTGGCTATTCTGGAAAATGATCTGAAAGAATTAGAAAATATGTAACAAAACCTGTCCGCTTTCTGCAAAATTCAGTTGTCTTTTCCCATTCCCAGTTTTGTATTAATGTGACAAAGAGGTGACAGAGTGCTGGGTTATGGGCTTATCTCTAGGTGAATAGTAGGCAGAAACCCTCTAAATTATACTCCCCTGTTCCATAGTGTATCATCTAACATAAAAATGATACATGTTCACATTGGTCTTAAAATGCATGAGAACTTCACAAATTATAAAAATGTTATACCACTTTAAGATGATCTTCCATTTATTTTGTTTTCAGGAGAGCAAATAAAGTAATGCCTTACCTTTAGTTTCAGAAGTGTTACATTGATATTGCTCATTAGTTCCTTGATGTCTGTCAAGTGAAAGTTTTTGCTTTGAGCTAAATATAGCACTTCCTCCAAAAGTTTGAGTTCTTCTGCTAGACATTGAAGATGAGTCAATTCTGTGGCCTTGAATAATAATAAAAATAGTTGTCAGGTCAGTTTGCCCTAAAGGTCAGAACCAGAAATTAGTCTCTAGTGAGAATAGTTTTTATTATTCTTCCTATTGTCAGCATTACTTTAAATATGTACCAATGTAGCTCATAAGACTGGAAAAACTAGAATTCATCTACCCATGTTTAGCATTAAATGTTACATAATGAGAGGGGCCTGGGTGGCTTAGTCAGTTAAGTGGCTGCCTTCAGCTCAGGTCATGATCCCAGGGGCCTGGGATGGAATCCCATGTTGGGCTCCTTGCTTACTAAGGAGCCTGCCTCTCCCTCTGCCCTTCCCCCTGCTCATGCTTGCTTCTTCTCTCTAAAATGAGTGAATGAATGAATGTTAAATGATAAGTCAATAATTTCAACTTAATTTGGCTTTGCCCAAAGTCAACATTTCTGTACCCAAATGCAAATCACAGATATAGGCAGAATTCTTTTCCCCTCTGTGTAGAAATTATTAGAATCAGAGCAGTCACAGCATGGAAGTATAGGATCACTTTTTATAATTCTAACATTTAATCTAAGAGTTGAGAATTATAGAATGTTAAGAACAGAGGAGCTCTTAGATACTGTCACAATCCCAGCATTTTATAGATTATGGAATTTTAATCATATAGTAATGACTCTCAATATAGCAAGTCATATAAGTGTCCTAATTTTTTTACTTTTCTATAAGTATATTAAGATGCATTAAAAAATTATGTGCCCCAACCAAATTAAAGAGTAGAATATTTGAAGGGATTTTGGGTGGCCCTCCTGACTTAAACCTATATACTTCCTCACCCATGTGATCTGTTACAATGATAGTATTTCGTATTTTTCTGGTACATTATAATTTTATTTATTATAAATATATAATATATTATTTGTTTCAGGGGTACCGGTCTGTGATTTATCAGTTTTATGCAGTTTACAGCTCTCATCATAGCACATTATAATTTTAAAGTGTCTATTCCCAAACAAGCACATTTAAGTCTCACAGCCACCTCTTGAGATAGCAATGCAGTGTTGTTAATCTCCGTTTTATAAAGAAGGAAAATAAATCTCAGAATTTAAGTGTTTTCCCAAAGTCACATGATTAGGTGGAGCCAAGATTAAATTTTAATTCTTTTTCTTTATAGCTCTAACATAGCATCCTTTGAATTAAATGTTTTTATAACTTCCTGAAATTTTTTTGCAAAATAAAATGGTGGTAAAATGAGCAAATGAGTGGAGCTTACCACATTACTTTGGGTTTCAAATAGATTTTGAGATGTGGTTTAGAAACTGTTAGATTTCAAAGAATTTCACCACCCTCTAAATTATGCACATAATCTCATGTTATCTTTCTAGAAATCTTTAAAGCGTGACTTAGGACTACACCACACACATTTGATGACATTTCTATCCACTGGCCTTTTAACTTGTTACTACAAATTCAGGGCTTAACTATTTGGAGCTGTTTTCCTCAGAAAACAGTCTAGTGTCTTTATGAAGCTAGAGTTAAGAGTTATGTGGCTCTTAAGTTGAAGAAGCATCTCAAGTTATTTTCATCTTTTAAAAGAGTAGTTTGAAGAATAATTTTTTTCAGTTAATAAGAGGTCAATGAGATTACATCCATGACCTTTAAATCCCATTTTTTTTTTTTTTCTGGGCTTGGATTCACCCCGGGACTAACTCTTTCCAGCACAAAGTTATGCGCATTCTCTGTTGACTGGCACAACTACTAAGAAACTTTATATTTCTAGTATAGCCATAGGAGCTTAGATGATCTATGTTTATCTGAATACCCAAATCCTGGAAAACAAGTCATATAGCATCCATAATGCTAGGTCTATTGGCATAAAAGATGTGTAAGTCCAAAATTTTACTTTATATTCTGAGGGAGAATTTTGTTTTTACTAATAGCTAATGTTTATATGGTATTTATCCTATATCAGACACGATTTTGAGTACTTTGCATTTACCTGTTAATCCTCACAAAACTATATGAACTATAACTATCATTCACATAAGTAGATAAGAAACTGAGTCAGAGTAGGCAACTTGCTCAAGGTCACAAAAGCTAAGACATAGCTGGGATTCCAGTTCAGAGAATCTGGTCCTAGGGACCATGCTATTGGTCATTACTATGCTGCCTCTCAAAGATAGGCCCTTAGGAATTTTTCCTAAAACAATGAAGGATTTTTAAAAATAGGAAATCAACTTTGATAATTTGCATGGTAAAATGATATAATCAAATATCTCTCAAGTTTTAAATTTTTAAATAAAAATAAGTCAATATAATCTTTTAAAATTGTCCCATCAATAAACTGGGAATATTATTCTTGTCTCTTCCCAAAACACACACAAATACATACAGAAAAATATATATGCAAAGCTATTTTACAGAAGCTTCCTTACCAAATTGTTTTTTTAAATATTGAAGTTACTGATGCTTTTCAGATGAAGTGCTATTAATCTAATCAGTTACAAATTTTCATACAGCTTTGAATTTTATTAAGACATAAATTGAATGGGGATGCCTGAGTGGCTCAGTTGGTTAAGCAGCTGCCTTTGGCTCAGGTCATGATCCCAGCGTCCTGGGATTGAGTCCCACATCGGGCTCCTTGCTCAGCGGGGCGCCTGCTTCTCTTCTGTCTCTGCCTGCCACTCTGTCTGCCTGTGCTCACGCTCTCTCTCTCTCTGTGACAAATAAAATCTTTAAAAAAAAAAGACATAAATTGAATGTAGAAAGTTGTACTTACCTTCTTGGGCATGTAGAATTTAAATGTGAGCATCCTGGGGAGTTTGAGGCTCTCATAATTCTGAGAAAGCATAATATATTTTCATTAAAAAATGAACTCCAGTTCAAAAAAATTATATATAATAATTTTGGTAGGAAAGGGAATATACTCACATTAACCCCATTCAAGAGCAACTGTAAGTCCAGCAGCAATTGCTCCAGCTGTTGCTGTGCTTCCTTCGTAGAGCTTGAAGTAGTAGGTGCACTGTTTGCGACGAGTGCGAGAGTCAGTACGATGCAAGACAAGAGTTGCATTTTGTACATTGTGGCAGGAGTTGAGGTTACTGTGAGTAGTGATTACAGAAGCTGATAGGAAGCACTTGAACAAGAGAAGCAATTTATACTCTTAATTCTGGAAAAATATTTATGGGGGTGTCAAAATGTTTTACATATTACACATATTTTCAAAGATTCTACCTGTGTGGCAAAAAGCATTACCTTTATTTTTCCTCTTCTGATGACTCTTTGGAATTTCTTTAAACCCCCATAAACTGACTGAATGGATGTAGGTAAAATCCCTGTTGGTTACATGAGCCCACACTTAGGTGGCTGTTGTAATTCATACAACTAACGCCTTCTGTATGAAACAATTTTTCCTCCCTCTTTCTTTAGGGGGGTGGGGATACAAAAGTGGCTCATGAAAATTTTCTCTTTGTCATAAAACTATGGTGAACATGTGGAGCTCTATGGTGTGGTAGACAAGAGTAAATAGTTGAAAATAATAAATTTTTAGATTTGTTGATTAAACAGGAAGAATATTGGTTTCCTGTTTAGGATGGTTTTACCTTTTGATCTACACAATGACTGAGCTAATGCATACATGATAGATTACTTCTTACACAGTCAGCTAGAAAAATTAAGGCTAGAATACTTGAATGCTCATTGAGCTTGAGGTACTGTTTTATGCTATTTTAATTTGAATATTTCTTGTATCTGTTTTAATCTCTTAATAGCTGTTGTACATTTTTTTAATGGGCATGATGTTTAACAAATAAATACCCAGAAAAGGGCTTGCATGAAAGGGTACAAATGCTAGTTTGGGGGAGGAGGGTTTGGACAAATGTATTTTTGCTGCTTTGTTATTTTTGCTGGGCATCAAGGGAATGTAAGGTGAGTTAGAATGTCACAACAACCAGGGTGGTTTTACTTCCTCTTGGTCTCAGGGATCAGCCAAGCTATTAAATATTTTTCCCACTTTATGTCCATTTCACTTCTCTCTCTCTCTCTCTCTTTTAAACAGATTATTTATATTTCTTTAAATATAAGGCATAAAATAAGAACAATAGGGATCACCAAGTTTGTTAATAGGTATCTTACTAACTGAAATTTCTGGACACTATTTGTACATACTTTAGGAGAAAGAGAATATGATGTGGCTAGCTTGAGGTGTACCAATACTGGCCTAAGTAGTGTGGCTGGGGCTGAGAAAGGCATGGTAGTAAATAGACAAAGAGGCTGAGGCAGGTCATGGGGTGGGGGTGTTTGTGTGTGCATGTGACTTGTGGAATAAGAGCAGGCCTCAGAGCAGGCATATTTGGGCTCATTTATTCCAAGATGATTCTTATTATACAGAAGTCAGAATTGAATTGACAAAAGTTACTTAGAAAGGGTATCCATTATAATTTTTAGAGCACCTTTTATGAAAAAATAAAGTACTACAAACAACTCATGACATATATTGAGAAAAGGCTTTGCATCCAATAGTACAGATGCTAGTTTTATAATAGACTTTATATGTGCTCTATGTAAACCAGTTCATAAGTTTCAACTTGTTATGTTTTTACCTCTTTAATAGACTTAGGTTTATCCACTACAGCATCTGGGATACTATGAGTGTAAAATAATAATGCTTAAATAAGATCAGATCAATATTCTTAAAGTCTGTAGAGTAGGTAGGATACTTAGGACATGTGTTAATGTGTCCTCAGTATAATGCACTAACAGCTTCAGTATAATAATGGTATGGGTATATACTTATAACTTAAACTGGAGAGAATTGAGGAAATCCTCAATGAGATTGCTTATAACTCCCAATTTTACTACCTTATATTTTGTGTCTAGTCTTTAAAAAGACATTTCTCTAGCACCTCGGGTATACAGAAAGGGAGAGAAAAGAACAATGTGAACACACACAGTCTAGTTTAAACCTTATAATGAACTTGTAATGATTCCCATTTTGCAGATTAGAAAACTGAATCTCAGATATGTTAACTAATTTGTTGTATGTCATGAATCCTTTACTGCCGGTAAGTGGCAGAACAAGGATTTGAAACCAGAATATTCTGACTGCAAAGTCCACCATTGTATTCTTTCTTAAAGAAACTGATGTACATTATAAAAGATGTGTATATAGATGCGTGTAATCTCAGTAAAACATAAAAATTACTGCCTCAAGAGAAGTGGATATAAAGAATTTTGAAGAAAGAATATGACTTCAAACTGGATTTTGACAACATGGTTAAACTATAGATATGTACATTTAGGATGAGGAGGAGAGTGGTAGGCAGGAAAGGTTAACCATTCAAAGGAGCATTTGTACTACAAAAAAAACAAAGGAAAAATTGTTTTGTTTAGTACCGTTTATGCATCAGGTAACATTCTGAAGACTATAAAACATCTTTGTAAAATTTAAAAACAAGCATTAAATAGTTTCTTTGATGGAAAAAAAATGAAGGAAAAGACAGATTAGAGATCAGTGATCTTTCAGAAAAGATTAGAGACAAGTTAGGAACAAATGATCATGATCTTTTCTTTTTATTACTAAAAAGTGCAAAATCTTTCTCTGTACCTTTCAAATCAAACTAAGCATTAGTTCTAAGGGAAGGGCTATTTAATGATCTGTGGGTCAACTTTGTTGTACTTGTTTTGCTTCTCGAAAGACTTCAGTATTTCATCCCAGCATCATCAGCTCAGGCCTTTACCCTTCCAGAATGGAAGAATTCAGGCCCACACATTTTTCTGTGTGGGGGCTTTTCCAATGAGGCCTTTGATGTTCTCATAGTCTTGATATTTCTAGTTCTCCAGCTATTTCCATTAGAGAATGGGTCAGTATATGGCTACATTGATGGGACCCTGTACAAGACTGAGTTCTTAAGCCCCGGGCTTATCCCTATTATCATATAACAGGCACCATTATGAAGCTGGACTGCCAATTTCTTTCTTTAAATGCTTGTGGATAAAACTACCATACACTGTGGCATACTTTCACTTTTTTAACATGTTTGACACATCAGCTGGCTTCTCTGGCTGTAGTGGTGGTAAAATCAGTAAGAGACTGCAGGCTACTGCATTGGTCACACCCCCTACTTCCCCTTTGAAAATAAAATTCTATTCAATAAGAACCTATTTTCATTGCTAAACATAGTTTGTGACTCAGCCTCTTAGACTCAAGAGTAGCCCAAGTTCTTTTAAAAGAAAAGCCCTAGTCTCTGAAGCTGCCTACCAAAGAGATTGGTCAGTCAGTTGCACACATTGTCCATTCATCAAAGCTGACTTTCAAGGACTCCACCTCCTGCAAGAATGTTTTCTTCCTGACCTTTTCTCATTGCTTTATAAAACTTTAATTTAGACTGATGTTTCATGCCCGTATTAGTGTCTACAGGCCTCTTGGCTTTTCAAGACACAGTTGTCTCCCTTTGAAATTAGGACATATTGAGGAATAATCTCCATACTACCCAGAGAATATTCAGCTAAGAGCTCTGTGCTTCCCGTGAAAACCTGAATTTCTTCAGGCATAGGTTGGTGCCCAGTCTTAGTCTTTATCAGAACTCTGGCCCTCTATGATGTGATAATACTGTAAATCTATCTGTGGATCACAGTTACATCTCATTCATGTGTGCTTTTCTTCCATGTGGGCAATTTTAATGTTCATAGTCTTTTGGGATGGAAGAATTATTTCCTTGGTACTTTTAGTTTTACAAAGTGTTTTCAAATTCATTATCTCATTGAGTCACATTTTACTGATAAGAAATCTAACATTTGTACAGGTTAAATAACTTGCCCAATAACACATTCTTAAGTTAGTGGTGAAGTTAGAGCAAAACCCCAAGACTTCCTGACCCCTAATGATCATGTGTATTTCCGAGGTAAAATAGTGATGCTAAATTCTAGGTGCATTAGGCTATACAGAGAAAGCTGAATTAGTTTGTGCCTGCTATTCCATCTCATTTCACTCTATCAGTGATAGCTGATGAGTCAGGCAAGGCATCATCCACCTTCGCCTAACCAATACCTTGCCTGAGCAGTTTTAGGATTTCTAAGAAGTTAGAGCAGCTTAATTCACACAGCTACAGAAGCTAGGTGTTCTCTCTCTCTCTTTTTTCTTCATCTCTTTCTGGGGTCTTTTAAAAGCAGTGGAAAACTTGATGTTTCCTAACACTTCTCCTGTATGTGAAGTAAGAAAATAATGGCATCTACTGTGGATTTAAGTTGCATTGTACTTTTAGGAGTACAGTATTCTAAAGCTGACATGGGGTATCACACACTAGGCAGTTGTCTGCATTTGGCAACCTAGAGACGCTTCACTGCCTAAAGTGAGTAATGAGAATGGGAGGATCTTCCAAACCCTAGGAACTTTTTGTGTAAATATAAGATCCAAGTCAAGATACACAGCAGTTAGCAGAAGTAGAATGGGATAAGCTGACAGTAACAGCAATAGATTTGCAAGACATTTCAAGTCTATAAAGCACTTTCACATCCATTTGTCTCCTCTTATGGCAAAATAGGTAAAGAAACATTTTCTGGTTATATGTATTTCACTAACAACTTTATTTTCTTGTACATTAAGAATTAAGCTTGCAACTTACAGGTAAATATTAGCTTTCTCCTCTGCTAAGATAAGTGCTTTCATTAAAATCTTCTGAAGATAAAATTATCTTCCTTTAAATACTTCCCCTGTCTAACTTTGTTTCTAAGTTCTCTGTTAACCATTTGTTCTTCCCTCTTCTACAGTAGCTTCTTTGGATGTATCATCGACAATCCATTGTTCCATCATTCATGTTAAAAGACAAAATGAGGTGTATTCAAAAATTTAAGAGTTTGAACAAAAATCCATTTGAATTGGGTAGCATCCCATCTAGCATATAGAAGGGAACTCTGAGGAGTTGTACAAAATGAAAGACTTTTATAGCCAGAGGGAACAAGAATAAGCAACTTATACCAAGCAAAAAAAGAAAAAAAAAAAAGTTGGTTATTACAAGGCTACTTTCTTTTAGGGGATGGCATGGGTCTGTCAGGTGGATTATCTAGTGATGAGCAGGCGATTCCTGATTGACTGGTATAAGATTTTATTCCTA